TTTTCAAATTTTTCCTTGGTGATTTTTGCTAAAGTCCCAAAGTAGTTGGAAACAGTTATTTTATCTTACATACATTAAATTTTTCCCAGACTTCTCTGGATGAAAGGAGTATTGAATTGGAGTTTGAGACGGACAGTAATCGTTACTGGGATATGTTTTATACCCACCTCAGTTTGAAGCTTCAATTAGTGAACGAAAGATTACTTGATTCAATCGAAAAACAAAAATCTTTATGGTACATAAAGCAAAATCAGAAGATGACTCAGATGAGGTACCAGAACTTTACTTAACCTATGTGAATCAATCTACTACAATCTCCATTCTTCAATTGCGAAGTTTATTTTAACAATACAATGGTTTACAATGCCAATGGCTTTTATTTTCATAAAGCACGATTATTGATCGAATTCAACTCGTTGTTAGTGGGTAATAAAGGATTACTTGCTTGTCAAGGATATAGTTATGAAGAATTTCCTGAAGCATTTGATATGTATCCGTTCACTGATAGAGCGAATTCGTCAGGAACAGGGATAAATGTTTCATTCTTTGGGGGTTTGTCATTGGGTATTTTACTTCTGAAAACTTATTGCTACGAAAACCAAAGCTCGAATTAAACTAATTCGAGCAAGACCCAATTTTTACATGCTGTCTGATAATGTCACTGTTAGTCTGAAAGTTTTTGATTGTTCGCTGTTTACTAGAAAAATTTTAGTAGCTGAACCTAAGCATCAATATTTGCAATGGAATCTAGAAAGAGAACCTGCTCATTATAATTACATAGAAACTATAGCAAGAACTTTTTTCATTCCATCTTGTGAAAACCAGTTTATCCTTGAACAAATTTTCAAGAAAGCTCCAATTAGAAGAATAGCTGTTACATTGAATAAAAATTCAGCTATTGCGGGATCTTTTACTGGAAATCCTTTCAACTATCAACGATTTCATTTGAGAGAGCTTAGAATTATTCGAGGTGGAAGAGCAATTGTTTTACTAGATACAACTTCTCTTGTCGTCCATATGTTACAGCAATGAAAGCAATGCAGTTTAACGAAGATTTTCCAGCTCTTATTATAGAAGTATTTTTGAAAATCATTATTTTCATGTTTTTGACTTGACTCCACAACAGTATGCAGCTGAACAGTTGCATTAACCAGAACAAAGTAGAGAAAGCATGATATTAAAAAATTTTTTCCAATTTTCCTTCGGAGCAAGTAACCTTGGAGCAAGACCTAAATCTCCAGAAAAAGTAGACAATGATTGTTGCCTAATTGAAAACCCGAGAACTTTCTACATTTTAGACTGTAAAACAGTGTTCAATAACTTTTGTCCAGTACAAAAAACTTGTGCATCGGAATTTGACGATTCAGCGCCTAAATTTGTGTAAGTTATCATCCTTATTTGTTTATCCTAAACGTGCACCATCAAACTTTCATATTCTTTGTTTTTAGATGTAAATCAACAAACCATTGCAAACAAGGATATTTTTTCTTATTTGCAAACTATCGAAAAAAAATTCGTGAACTCAGGTTTAAGTATATGGGATCCCTCTGATAATGTTCCTCAACTAACACAATACTTTTTTGCAATAACTAATTCAGCTCCGAGCAGCGATAGTGGACAGCACTGGATCATGATTGCTCGATTGGAAAAATTTACTACTTTACTGATTCTTTGAGGAGAAAACATTTCATCAATTCCTTTTTGAAGAAAAAGTGACAACGCAGTTCCAATGGAAACTTCAAAACACTGATAATTTGGGTGGTTGTTCGCAATTTATTCAACATTTTTCTTTTTAATTCTACCAGAAGAACTTGAATAAAATTCATAAACTTTATGTTTTGAATTTTATTACCACTTAATGTCTAAAAACGCAATATGGTACTCTTCAAGTAATGTAAATTGATGCAATAAAATTGTATACGAAATGGTGATCTTTACTGTTACTTTTTTGTAATCGTTTTTTTTTGTGCTTCTAATTGATTCTTTTGCAAAATTTACGAATTGCGGAAATCCAGTTAAGAATATCAGGAAATATATAGGAAATTTTGGAGAAAAAGACTACTACTGGGGGAAAAAATTCAATAAAATTTTTTTAAAAAAAAAGCAAAATGTATGTGATTAATTATAACATTAGCACTGAATAGGAAGTGTTTCCAGATATTTTTTTGTTTGCTTCAACACTAATCTTTTTAAAAATTTGCTCTTGGAAAGAGTGGAAAATGAAAAAAAAAAAACAATGTTTCGGTTTCTGCGACAAATCAGACTTTAGCCCGTTGCGGAACCCCTTTACAACTCATAAAATTATACTTTCAAACAAATCCTGAAAGAATTAGAATCAGTGGTAAAACTTACTCATTTCAATTGCAAATCAAATTAAAAATGAAGAACGATGCTTCACATGATGACTTGGAGCTACTCTGGAACAATGTTGCAAACGTAGCGAGTCGCTTAAGCGCAGACAAAAGCCAAACTGGTCGCTTCAGGGCGGGGCTGCCTTTAGTGAATTTTCTGACTGCCTTTAGTGTCTATGGAACCGTTTTTTTAAAACAAAAAACTGACAAAACTTTCAAAAAAGAAATTGAAAAACTTAGAAAAAAACTTTCAGTTTCTTTATCATCCCGCACACGCCATACAAGGTAAAACTGATAAATTGATCCTTGTAACATAATATTTATGAAAAATAGCCTGCTTCAACCAATTTGGATTGATTTCTAATCAAATATTAATCCTCCGCTTATGCGTTAATAGCGCGAATCATTTCGACCGTTAGTTGTCCCAAATTGGCCATATTGCCAACCTTCAAAGCCCCATAACTTAACGAAAATTTATTTGATGAAATATTATTTCGCGTTTGAGCTCATGACATTCTTAAGTTTCGGATGATATAAAAAAACTCCGTGAAAGATGGCTTGTTGAAAAGTCGAGGTTTGTGGTCTTTTGGGACTCCTTTCCAGTTTCCCCCCTTTGAATTTCAATTTTGAAAAGTCTATTTAACGTTGTCATAATGCAATGAAATTTGGCGTGGTGAACAAATCGACAATTCTGAACAGATTTGTTCTTCATACTTTACAGCGTAACATCACGCATTTAGCCGTAATAACACGTAAAACAAACAGAATACTCGGTATTTTGAAAGGGGGGAAACTGGAAAAGAGCCTCTTTTGGGGCAATTATAGCACATCCAGTAAGTTATAGCCAAAATTTGGGGTCTATTTGGGGCCATTATAGCACATCCAGTAAGTATGTTATATCCCCTCCAATACATAACTCAGACAAAACAAGTAGATATGCAGTGAAATAACAGGAGCTTTTTTATTTGTTTATGCGTAACTAATAACTCTCTTCAGCGGTAAGTTCAGTACCGAGAAAACATGGATGCACATTTGTAGGAATGCCGCAGTTACAAAAGAATTTGTTCACAAGTTCGGCTTTTTTGGCCTTAATTTTTGGTTTCACGTCTAATGGGCCTGATGTGCGGCACCCAAAAAAAACTCACTAGGGTCTACTTAGCAATACCCCCCAAACTGCTTATCCTATGGTCCTATGGCATCACACCTTATGGTATCTACAAAAAATTCCATCCCTATGAATTAAAGTAGTGAGTTAGCACTAGAGAATTCTTTTAAACCGTCGAATTTTGCTGCTTTCTGGTTGGTCGAAAATTTCATTTACTTAATCTACTAAAAAAATGCCCCCCTTTCTTGAAAGGTATAATTTTTAAGTAGAGCCGCTCTCTGTGGTCAACATATCTTCAGTTATCACAAACAGCCTTTTGGAAACAGCAATTCAACAATCTTTTTGGAATAATTTTGAGCTCAATTTTAAGTTCAGTTTAATTTTGAAATTTCTAATTGAAATTATTTTGGGTGACTGCAGAAGAAATTCTTCGGATTCCGGGAAAAAAACATGCGGAAAAACAAATTTGCGCTTAATTTACTTCAATTTGGCGAAAGTGCGGGCAAGCAGTCTTATAAAAAAAAACCTGTTTTAGCTTCGAAAATGCATGTTTTTTTTTCAAAAAAATAAATATCATTGAAATCTCTGAGTTCAGTTTTAAGTGCATAAACTTTGGGAATAATTTTACGATGAGTGCTTTTCACTGGTAAATAAGCAGAATGATCTGAAAGAAGAAAGGCTTAAATAGTTCTTTGTTTTGTTATTTGAAAAATGGATCTGAAAGCTCAAATCTTAATGTTGGACTAGTTGGGCAGCCGTTAAGACGACAGAAATGTTTGATGAGACTTTAGGACAACGCTACACCCAATTCTCCATATTGTGTTTCTGAGAAAGTTAAACTGCTTAAGTTCGAATTGCTCATTTTACCGTTGTATTCTAAAAAAAAGTTGTACTGAAATAACTGTTAGTGTCTATTATTATCTTGTCGTCTTAATGGCCTGTCGTCTTATTTACCTAGCACCGGCTGTCTCAAAGTACATAATTCCCACAAGATCTAAACTGAATAATCATTATAAGCAGAAGCTCAATTAAAAATTTAGTTACTTTGGGCCGTATAACATTTTTTTTGCTCTTGGACCCATTCTGTTCTTAGGCCATTCTTCTTAATGACTGGCCACCGACCCAATGACGTTTATAGGCTAATCAGTAAAAAAAGTAGAATTTTGTATACTGAAAAAAAGTTGTACATAAATTGAGTATTTGGATGAAATTTTCTCCAGCTGAATAAAAAGAACTTACGTCTACTAAAAAAAAACAATAAAACAATAGAAGAAATGCAGTTTGCGTTTGTGTAAAATAAGTTTCGTAGTATTGAAATTTCTGATACTTGTATCAATTGATGAGCCCGTATAAGTCAAGTTTGTCTGTTTTTCTGCTCCAGTCAGCCCTTGGCAGAATGCTTCCCACAGTTCCAAAGGTTATCAGCTGTGGGTCATGATCGAAGGCAATCGGGAGATGTGGCTGGGTGTGCTGATTTCACGGGCAGGAACCTGATGACTATTCCTGATCAGCACTATTCCTCTGTTGACGATTGTGTTCTACAGTGAGCAAGAATGTGGCGACAATTGCAGAACATGGTTGAGGTATAGCAATGATCTCCTTTGCGAATTCCCTCCAGAATACTTAATCAGTCCGGAACCTGCGTGGAAACTCGGCATAGTCAATTGCGATGATAGTAAATTTTGCCACAAATACGTCACACAATTCATAGGAGACAATGTTATGTAAGTAGTACTATTTTCAATTAATGTTTTAAGAAAACTGAATTGCATCTCGCATTGATACTTATTTTTTAGATTTGCACAGTTCCGCTCTGCCAAGATGACGTCCTTTGAACTCGGTTCCCCAGAAAGTAATCCTCATTCACTATGGCTCCACCATCGTATGTATGAATCTAATCTAATCGAACTGCGGATATGACAAATGCGGATAAATTGATGACCTCAAATCTCAATTCGCCCTATAAACATTCGCCCTTTTTTCTGTGTCCGGCACAGTTTGCCTAAATCGCTATTTTAAACTCTCTACGCCGTATTCATAAAAGTTTTGAGATAAGAAAACATTGCAGTGCAATCAATTAATAAGAAAAATCAAATTTTGTATCAGGTTTTGTGTTTGTGCATGAAAAAGAACTCGTTCATTTTTATTCAGGTCGCAGACGATGAAAAAGAGAAGCAGTGTAAATCGAAGTCGGGCAATCAACTAGAAAGCAACAACTACTTCACTCCTAAAACTCTTTATATTTTTTAAACTTTGTATATCTTTTTCTCATTTTTTCATATTATTTTCACTTTCATTTATTTAACCAAACTTAAATTAAAGGTTAATCGACTCCTATCTTTCCAAGTGGATTGCGTGCATCAGCTTAGTTTGAACAAAATTATCACCCGAAAAAGCATCAAAATTAAAAAGTAAAACATTATTAATTGAATTAATTAAGCCTTTGGACCATTTCGACATTTCGCAAATTTGAGCAATAAATATTCGTGGATTTCAAAAGAGCAAAGGAAATGAATGAAAATGCAAACATGTGGCTTTCGCGACAAACCTGTTTTCAGTTTATTTGTCGCGGAATTTGCTTGCAGTTGACAAAATCCTCAGTTTGGTCTCAAAATGGATTACACAGTTCAGCTTAAATTTTTACCTGTGATGAGCGCCAATAACACAAAAATTTTAAAGCCATAGAAAACTATCGCGTAGAGTAAAAACCGATAATCAAATATCTGAAAGCTTTATTAGATGTTGCAATTCGGTCTAAAAGGAGTACTATTCAATCTCAGAGAAGACTTCCTAGATCGTTCCCATTATTGTCCACCCAGTAAATTACAGCTCTCCAGTAAACAACTCAGACAAAACAAATAGACAGACACGGTGAAACATCGTGTGCATCTTTTTTTAATTTATGCATAAGTAGTAGCTCCATGTAGCGCTAAGTTCATTAGTAACAAACCATGGATGAACTTCGCATGAATGCACTTACGAATGAAAGCGCAACATATGTTTGAAAGTCAATTGAAAATGGACAGACTGGAAGGGCTATAATAATTTTGCTACTAGGCTGGGAGGGTCTATAATGGGAAAAACCCGTCTTCTTTTTCCTGTGAGATTGAAAATTTGGCAGAGCTTCACCATCAGTCACACTTTTGAAGAACTTCACAAGCAGATGGAAACTAATCAAATAGAATTAATTCGACATGCTTCACGTATTCAGCTGGAGACTATTCCCGTTCCCGACCTCCCGCATCTAAGAAAACTGAAAAATATATCAAATAAAATGGATTTTGGTGATCTAAAATGTTATCAAAATAATCAATACCCATGTTGCCCTCAGACAACAAACTGGAAAAAAATATATTTTAATCCATTAATTTCGAATAAAGTGGAGAAAAAACACCATGTCTCGAAAAAAGAATAAAGTTGAAAATAAATAGGGTCATATTTGCAACCCTTGAGTGTACCCTGAAAACACCCCACCATTGAGACGAGCGTTTCAAATTTTTAGTTTTTTTAACTTGTCTTTTTGACCAAAAAATTTATAATAAAAAATACCGTATCTCGGAAAATAATATAGGTTTTGGAGTCACGTTTGGAGGACAGATTAGCAATGTGTCAAGAGAAACGCCAAACATAACGTATAAATAGATCATTTATATTTCTACACATAGGCGAAGCTTCGCTTTGCAAACAATAGCGAGAACACGACAAAAAGCAGCTCTATAAAGTGCAATAAGAATCGTAGGAAATAAGCCCCGAACTAGTAAGAAATCGGCTATGTCGGAGGTTCGCACCTGTGTCTTTCAGATTTAGAGTATCACACACTAACCACTCAGCAGCGGTCTCTCAATAGGTACCAATCACTAGCCACAAACAAAGCAGATCGTTTGGACCACTGTACAAGGATAAGAGACGAAACTATTCTCGTGGTGATTGTTTCATGGATTGACCGAAATTGGAAGCACCGTATTCAAGTTATTGATTTCGAACTGATGGATATACAACTTCGATTGAACTAAAACGCATTGGGCGAACTGATGGAGTTACTCACATACAACTTCGATTGAACTAAAACGCATTCTAGAAGATAACAATATCAACCCATTGAAAGTTGTCGGATTCCAATCTGATAGTTGCAGCTGAAGGATTCGGAGCTGTAGGTTATTTCAAATGGCAACCCAACCAGACGAGCAGGATTCAGATGACGAAACTGTGGTTTTTCAAGACGAACGAGATGAGTCCAAGATTTCAATTAAAACGCCTTTTCAGGAATTTGTGAGTTGTGGGGCGTATCGTTTCATCAACTCCATACTAGATGCAATTGATGCTTTTGTATTTTTCCGTCAACTGAATGCGATGTCCGTCAAAACAGATGGGCTGACACTTTCAAACCCCCGACGGCACGGAGTGTTCAACCAGCCCAAACACGCCACCCAAATCAAGCTCTGTCATAGGGTGAAAATTGATCACCGTTTCGAAACGTTTCCAGATGTTGTCTTGGCAGCAACATTGTTGAGTCCTTCACAAGATAGGCGATCACATTTAATTCCAGCAGAAATTGAAAAAGCCAAGAAAAAACTACTCAAACTTGCGAATGACTACGAAGATGTGTTTGATATGAAAGATCTGGAAGCTGTCGAGGTCCAGCAGAAAGTCCGTGAAACTGGACACAGCAATCCTATAGACTCCGTTGTCTCTGATTTAGAATTTTCGAACGCAAACAAACTGATCGGATATTTTGCTAGCTCTTGCTGTCCTGAAATTGTCTAATACAAATTGATTTCCTGAATATCGACTGTCGACGAAGACGTTCTTCACTGTTTCAGCTTCTTCCGAGACTAGGCCCATAAGTGGGCGAGACTGGCGAAGAGCGCACGAATTGTTCTTTGTGTTCTTCCATCTCCAGCTAACGCAGAACGAGCGTTCTCGAAGGCTTCATTCTATACAGAGAGTCACAAAAACGGTCTTTTTTGCCGGGCAAACAAGACATGTTTAATTGGATACAGCAATAAAAATTGCTCAGTTTATAGTGAACTGCTTATCGTGATTTGTTTTAATTTATTCATACAATGAACGTTTAGTTTGTTATTGCTAAATTATTTAAAAGCACCTTTTTGACATTCGCATACCCGAAGTTTTTCAAACTTTCAAAACACTAGTGAGCGAATGCACGAAGATCGTTCCCGCCAGGACAACATGAGTTGTCATCAACCCAAAGTCTGAAATACAAGTAAACGGAATGCATTTAGAGTCTGAGTTAGGCCAGGTAGTCATACCTAGTTTGCACACCACTCAGAATCTTCACGCACCCGTTAACGTATGTTTTTTGAGACTTTCGGTAACTGCACGACATCGAAAACATGCATAAATAAAAAAAAGTCCAAATAGGGGTTGTAAGTAGTTTTATAATTGGTTTAAAGTAGGAATTGGTTAAACCAAATTGGTTTAAAATTATATCATTGTTTAATGGTTAAAAAAACGGTTATATATTTTAACTGGACATCACTAATGCGACGGAGTAATCTTGCTCAGAATTAGTGCAAATTGGTTGAAAGGCTGTTCTCTTATTCCCGCCACCCTCCCACTAATAAAGCTATAACAAAAATTTTACTTGTAAAAACCAGCAGGGGGAAGGAAAAAGAGACGAGCAGTCTTATTTTCTTCTGCATCGGCTTCGCCGCATCCATTTTGAACATTATTACATGGAAATCCAAAATTAACTCTTGATCTGTTAAAGTGATGCGACGCAGAAAAGATACAGATCAGCTCTTCTTCCCCTTGTTGTTGTTCTTGTAGCTAAATGCGATCTCTGCTTCGAGCTTCTGATTGAATTAGAGAGATTGTTTATGTTTGAGAGATCGAGAGATCGAGAGAGAGATCGAGAATGAGAGAGTTGAGGAAATTTCGTTCCTGACTGGTCATGTTGGTTTCGTCTCGTTCAACCTATCACTGCAGCTCCCCCAAGGTCTCTAGCGGCAAAACCGACGTAGAAGGGGAACCACCTTTTCCAGTGATAGCGTCTCTGTGCTGGTGACGGAACCTTCCCTCTGTATAGCCCACTTCTTCCTCTTCACGCTCGCATGCGATATTTTACTTACAAAAATTTGACTGAGGATGTCAAAGTTGACATAAAAAGGATACATTTGCTAAAGATTATTTAGGCTGTTCTAAAAAGCGCAGCAATTGAAGTTTCGACCGATTTGCTAGAGCCTTTTGAGAAGTTTTCGGTCCTCCGCATGTGAAGACAAGTTTTGACACAGACGTGAAGCTGCGCTTCGCAAACATAAACGAGGAAAATGAAAAAAAAAACTAACAACTGACCACACAAAGCAGCAAACAGTCGAGCAATAAAAAACTAATTCAATGTAACGGATTTGAATCTCCGACCTGATATTTAGGAGTGTCACTCACGTCCTCGCATTTGCGCCACGGTCACTTGGAAGTAAACGGTAACTTCCAAAATGGCATAATTACCAAATTGCATAAAAATTTAAAATTTTCATCGCAGTTCAAACGTTTTCTATTAATTTTTAATTACACTATTTTTTCGGAAACGAAAACACGTGAACAAGGTTTGGAATTAATTGCTTCCAAACAAATGTCAAGCGACAAATTTGTCGCAAAAATTGACCACAAGCAGTTTATCAAAAAACGCAAGCTCATGTTTTTCGCTTTTGATAGAAAAAAAAATCTACCATTTTTTCAAGATAAAATGTCAATCAGCATTTGAAATGACTTATTTTCTGATATTGTTTAGGAAAAAAGTGTTTTTGATTTTTCAATGCAACTGTTGCTTGAAAATTATACCATTTGAGAAAATTTTCATTTTTATGCCATTTGGGAATTATGCCATTTGAGACGTACTCTCGGTAAGTGGCCTCGTCTAGTGGCCCAGCTAATGCTGGATGTACCTGTTTTAATAATTTTTGATTATATATTGTACTGATACGAAAATGCGTAATTTTCAATATTTCAAAAAATGAATTTTACGCAAAACCCTGGTAACTACTCTCCTTGATTGGGAGACTATCTACTTATATGAAAAAAAAACTTTTACAACTCGCTCTCGCTCTTTTGTTGGAAATCTTCATCTCATGTTTGGCTGGGTAGTTTTCGAAAATGTTGAAAAAAGATTTCGAAAAAATTCAAAACGATCAACTTTTCTCTACTAAAGTATAGGAATAACCGTTTATTCAATGAAAACTTCCACACCCTAATTTTTAGATTGAACCTTTGATATCAAACTTGCAATTAGTTTTGGAGAAAAGTGATCAATTTTCTTCAAGAAAAAAGTTTAAAAATTTCAAAAAATGGATTATTCCGAAGTCCATATCAACTTTCGTACAATTAAAAAAAGGTAAAACAGATTGTGCAGGGAAAATGTGAGCAGCACGTTAGTTTGAATGAGCTATCAACCTCAAAATCAGCAAATAAATTAAAAACTATATATTCCAAAAAAAAATTCAAATCACAGGGCATGGCCGCTTGTGCAGGGAAGATGCATATAACTGGTTTTTTTTTTACAGTGAAACCCTTAATATCCAATAAGGCAGGGTATTTTTTAGGAAAACTGTTAAAACTAAACAAAATGTCAAAAATTGGCTTGTTCGAGGACATAAATTGATTCTATCGAATTTGGGAAATAACCGGTTGAGAAAGAGATTCCCATGAATTGTCCTTTTAATTGAAACCTTCATGTCAGATTTGTGCTCTAAGTATTCAAGAAAACGGAAACACTCATAATAAACAGGTCAAAAATCCCTCTACTGAAACTTTCGAAGGACGTAGAACGTGGGGTAAAATGAAAACAGACTAGCTATTAATGCCGACACATAGGCGAGCAGCCAGTCGTCCATTGGCGCCATTTTTTGAAAAACGGTACAGTAGTTTTTAAGAAACATTGAAACTTCTGCGGAACGTGGAAAAAATTTCCAAAGATTCGCAAAAAAAACAAAACCCATTTGTTTTAATAACCAGTTTCCTCAATTTGGACCTAACACTAGCTAAAAAAAATGCTTAAATAGGCCTAAATTTGATTAAATTGAAATGTACTAAATTTGCAAACAAATGAGCACTTCTATTTGTGAGTTAGGTTAGAAAAAATTCTTCGTAAACATACACAACGCTTCGCCTGTGCGTAACTACAGTTGTAACTCTTTGACCGAAATTAAAGAATGAACTAAAACTTTGACAAGCTTCAAAACTCTTTCAACAGATGGCCCTTTGTGGAATATTCTAACCTTATCCTTGTTTAATTATTCCTGTAAGCACGTCAAGCTGTACTGATGTTTAGGAGGCTTCAAGGGATGGAACACAATTAGTAGAAGCAGTAACTATAAAGTGAACAAGTTCAAGTTTTGTTTTTGAAACCGAATAGGGGTTGGCTACGACTAGCGCGTTTCAAAAACTTTGAAGTTGAGTTTGAACTTCTATCTTATTTAGATCGGTTTTATACCGGCTACGATTAAACAATCTTTTTTAAAAATGCTGCAGAGCTCAGACCTTGTCATTAACTTGTCTAGACAATGCTATATATCTGCTGCATAATGTTTATTCAAACTCAAACATCTTTTTTTTCTACATGCTTCTAATTAATATTTTTTCACTTTCTTTGATTATCGCAAATTTTGTATTCCATTTGATAAAACGAGCAGCCTTTTGTAACCCAAATGGTTCGTTAACTGTCAACTTACTGTTTCTGGTGCTTCATGTTAAAATTTTCTATATATGCATATCTATCACTAATAATGAGAACTTAATTTTTCTTCTTAACTTTTAATTTAATCTTTGGTAATCTTGTTCTCTAAGATCATATCTCATGCACGGCATGTAAGCCCAAGAAGTGAACCAGCATCAATTATATGATTCGAATGTACAAAGTGAGGTTTTGGGCAAAAAAGACAGCATTTGGGACTTTGTCTCGCCTAGAAGTTTTAATTGACAGGAAAAATGTTTCAAAACCAAGATAAGATTCAGGTAGAGTTTAAAAATGTTCGGACAGACAAAATTGATTAAAAAGAGCAACTGATTAGACATCAACTGAAATTAAAACTGAAATAAACATAATATCGAAATTTTATAGAGCAGAGTTTCGCTCAAAACTATAACCACGGTGGTTAATGCATCCGAAGCGTCGAATAGTGAAGCTTGAAACAAGAAAATTATTGCTCAGGGTGGCTGATGTTTTTCTGCGATTCATTTCCAAATTTTGAATGATTTGCTCATCTTCACTTCCGTTTTGTTTTGGTGCCGAAATCTTAATTTTTTTTGTTGTTGAAAATAACTCTAAATTTCGATTTTTTAATTTATTTTGCTAACTGTTTTTTTAGTGAAATCTGGATTTTCATCGCAGTATGTAAAAATTAGGTCAGCATAATCATCCGATAATCTTGCATTTTGAATTTGGTCCGACAAAAAATTTAAGGTTGTTCGGCTTCGGATTTTGCATGCAAAAAAGCGTCCAAAAGCACTGATTGCTCCTTTTAATTAAATCTGTCTGTCCGAACTTTTTGCTACTAATTATACCACATTCAAACAAACTGTTAATGATTGAACTTCTTTTTACTTGTTTTTCAGGCGATATATTTGCCTTTCTATTTTCTCCAGTATATTTGGTCTTCACTCCCTGCCTTGAAAAAAAAACTACAGGGTACCCTATACAATTGATACCTATAACAGTTGCTCACGGGGTTCGAAAAAAGCGCCAGAGGCTAGTTATGAACGAGCAAACAACATTCGCTCATTGAAGTATAAAACGAAAAGTAGAAATGTTTATTTCACTATCAGTAGAAACTAATCAACTGAGGAGAAACTATACTGAACACAAATTGTAATATCGAAGGATTGGCGTCAATTCAAAAAGAGATTAGCTTTCTAACGAGAGTTAATGAGTCTTTTATCAATTCGACAATCAGCTTTGTAAGACTATTTGGATCCCACCAAAAGTGGTCGGAGTCGTGTTTGTTCGGACTTAGCCGGACTTGAAGAGGAGAATAGCGACTTGTCCGAGGTAGAAGTATATGAAATGCTTCGTCTCGTGCGTCACATAGCTGCCGAAGTTCCTGCCCACAATACAGTGCCATGTGGGGTTGTACTTTTTGTCGAACTCCTTTTTAATGTAGGCTGCAATGTCCTTTTCGATGTTGAACTTTTCCATGGCTTGGGTCGCACACTCAATCGCGTCCTGCTGCATGTCTTCCGCCATGTCCGCATTTTTGATCACAGCTTTTCGTTCACTCATTTTGAACACTTTTTTAAAAGTTTTTGTTCACTCAAAACTGAAATGAAGCGTTGAATATTTAAACACAACTAAGATAAAAGAAGTAAAGCAGCGTGAATGAGCGGATTTTTAGTCTGACTGATTAGAGAAGTATTACCATCATGCCAATGTAATTTGCCGCCAATGTGGTTACTACACAGCAGCGCGTAGCTTCGACTTCTACAGTCATTTATATAATGCGTAGCACTGCCTTCAGAACACATATTACGATTCATTAGCTTCGCGTACCATTAAGCGTACCAGAGTTCTCTGTCACTTCTCAGCAGCTCGTAGCAAGCCCATAAGTTTACCGCAGTAACTCGTAGCATAAAAAGTAGTTTAAAAAGAATGTTAAAAATGTGGTTCTAATTAAAAAGGTGCTAAAAACAAGCAACTGCGGTTCAACCAAGTACGTAAGCTAACGAACTCTTCAAAGCATTACGATTGATAACCTACCAAATGAACATCACAAAAATGAAGACATTAAGAAAGAGCATGAATAGACGATTAGGCTCGTTTTCATCCTCCCTCCCTCAAATCAACCCACCCCCCCCCCCCCCCGCCCCCACCTCACGCGGACATCAATTCAAATGGTTTGACAAGGTTAATTATGAAGACCAAATATGTTTGCAATAGGTCAATTAATATGTATGACAATTTCCATAACAATCAGACAATCAAAAAAAGAGCTGCCGCTTAATTGGCTATTTCCCTTCATATGCCACCCCAACCCCCCGTTTAGCTACAAAAAAGGTTCTACTTCGTTTTTTACTAATATGAACGGGGCTATAATTTATTGAGAAGCTAAAAATGAAAGATCCTCTGTTCTCACCACTCGAAGAGCGAGAAGCAACTATTGAGTTGTTGGGCAGCAGCGTGCCGAGGAGAGAAAAAGCGACATCCCCCCCCCCCCTCAATTCTGATTGCCAAATTTTTCCAAAGGGTCCTCCCTTTGGTATAACTTTACGACATCCATTTTTGGATGAACAAACTTGAAATTTTTCTTAAGGCGCCTTTGGCACCAATATAACTAATTTTGAAGTGGGCGCGGCGCGCGCGCCGAAAAAAAAACGCAATTTTTGGCCAAAATGCCTTAAAACGCTTTTTGTGAAAAAATTTGGCTGCGGCGCAGAAAACGTTTGACAAAAAAAGGGTCGTTATAGTATTCTCGGAAAATCAAATTGGTCGACCTAAAAGAACGGACCGCAAAATTTTTCGAAACCCCCCTAAAACTACTGCGCACGCCACTAAATGAATCGTACAAAAACTTCTTAAGAAAACTCAAAAAACTGTCTCTGAATCGAGAAAAACTGGTCTGAATATTTTCCGAATATTCAGAATTTTACAAATGACAGGATGCGACACTGAACTCTCAAAGAATTCTTTTAATTTTTTTTATTAAATAAGCAATCATTACTTCATTTTTGCATATTTCTCGAGAAAGAAAAGACATTAGCTGCTTTTTTTTCTGTTTTGCATGCTTTAATAGCTAAACGCGCCCATTTTAGTTCTGAGCTACGAAAAGAAATTGGCACAAAAACGTATCACAGAGGCGAAGCGGACCTTCACAACACTTGACAAAACAACACACACAAAGCATTGCAAGCTAGCGGACAAAACAAGACGGAAATGACTTGTTCAAAAAAATCATTAATCTGAAAAACATCGGAAAATTTTTATTTATCTTTCTTACTGTTTCTATCCAATGTAGTCCAATTTGACGAGAACGTGCCGAGAAACATAACTTCTTTTTTATAAAAGCATTTAAAGTACTCTAAGTGCATAAGTACATAAGGCAGGTAAGCCAGTACATAAGATTAAACAACTTCAGCCGATTTAAGCTGTGCAAATAGCACGATATGTTCCGAGCACGCAAATTATAACAACACCTAGAAAATATGAAAAACCACGCTAAGACAATATAAACAGGCTGAAAATCGCGTGAGCTAATTCTTTTTTTCATTTTCTTGAGAGACCAAAGCGAGGTCCTTAAAGACATCATTGCTCTGCCACCAATCGTCCCTCTAAGTTCTTTGGTCAGTATAAAAAAGTCCACATTGGTGTCGTCGAAATTTTGTTGACTGGTTGACAGAGCAACGGGGAAGCAGAGGATCCAATTTTCGATAGTTTCGTTGATAGCAAATTGACTTTTTGGATCAATGGTGGGATGATTAGTCAGTTATCTTTAGCTTGATGACTGCTTTAGCGCTCTCCAAACAGTTGGAATTGGGTCTTGTTTCGGCTCCGTGCAGGGCTTCGTTGGTCAAGATGTCATCGCCAGGGATGTTCATGTGTCCGGGTATCCACTGGATATCGATATGACGGTCCAAGGCCTCTTGCCTGTGACAAATCCTGGTAACATCGGTGCTGTTGTTCTCAACTCGAAGCTGACCTCAACGCTTTTTTCTCTTCATAGAAGGTGAGCTCACTGCCCTCTGTGTTGTAGTGATCCACAGTGACGAGAGATGCAGGGTTACTGAGTGACATCATACCGACATGTGCTGATCCGTCCATGTAGATGAACTACTTGGCTCCGCTGTTCTGATGACTTCGGTGGCGGCTTCTCTCTCGTTGTCGTTTCGGTTCTGCCCCGCCAGTTTCGAGCTCACTCTCCATTTCCTGATGTTGGCCGACCAGGGTACTGCTGAAGACTCTGGCAGCAGGCAGGTCGCGAGGGGAGAGACCTGGGGCAGCATTTCTGCAATGCGCTAGCTGTGCTCTCTCCAACTGTCCATGCCGAGTATGTGTCTCTGGCTACCTTCTAGCGCAAGGCGTCTAGGGTGGTTGGGCCGATATCAGTAGTCTTTCTACAGGACAGTCCAATCACCTGCAGCCGGAGCGAGACTGTCTCGCATCTCTGAAACCCTGCTTTAATGAAAAAGGCTTCCACAGATGAAGTAACAAGGGTTTGTAAAAGATGGCTGTTAAATAGTTAATTGACTGAATTCTAGTTCGCATAAATAAGAGAGTGAACTTAGAGGTCAACCCTTAACAGCTAGACAGCTTTAGTTGATTGACAGGCAGGTACCAGTCTCACACTTGATTAAGGTCTGGGAACTAATAATAGCAACTCGAATGATTGACACTAAGATGATGATTGACAACTGAACATATTGTAGCCCCTGACATTTCCGTATGGATGTAAAATTTAAATACATAGTAATTTAAATTTAAGTATAATAACCACATCTTCAACCTGCCGCCTCAACTATCATATAACAAACAACTATCAGTTTTTAACAATTTGAGTTTTAGGCTTTATGGCCATCCCTCTCCCTGGGTTAACGAGTTTTCGAATAATGTGAAATAAGTTCATTTCCCTTCTCCCCCTGGATGTGTTCCTGGTTGTTCCGCCCCCTGGATGGTTTCAATCATAACTCCTCCCATTTTGTCTACTGGCTTTCTCCTTCTAGTACTCCTCCTGGTTCCCGAGCTTTCACTTTGGCTTCCTGATTCAACTTCCTCCTCCTGACTGCTATTTACAAGACACTCCCGCGCCGCTAACGCTGGACGTTCCTGGCTTTCCTTCAATTGTTTACTTTGGCCCCCTTTTCCTCGCTTAGCTCTTGTCACTCTGGATTTAGCTTTAGCTCCCGTTCCTCCTCCCACTCCTGTCGTACTGCCGCTTGGGCCTTGTCCCGCTGCAATTGCCTCGCGCCTCGCTAGCAATTCTACCGGTAGTCGTACCGGAATGTTTAATGGCAGATTGTCTTCCGTATCCGAACTGTCGGACTCGAAGGTGGCTAATTGGACTGTCTGCGTGGTCTTAGCTCGTTTTGATTTGGGGCTCACTACTGCCCCTCTTTTTGCGCTCGCTAGCATATCCTTGAGCGTGGCCGGCTTCCGTTTCTTGGGAAGGTCATGTTTCGGTTTTGATGCCACTGCACTTTTCCTAAGAACGGATCCGTTTTTAAGTTTAAAAGTATGTTCGGATTCAGAGATTACGTTTGACTTTAGTAATTTATACCGATTTAGGGTCTTGCTGGTAGTACGCTGGTATAGATTTCGTCCTTTTCCACTCCCCTGGATGTTAGGTCCAGTGTCTCCACTCCCTTGGGTGTGTGGGGCAACTTCCGATTCCCCCCTTGGACATGCGTCCATTTGTTGGTCACTATCCAGCGTGATAGGGGCCCTTCGCAAGGCTGGAGCGTATGTTAGATCCGACCTCTCCTCCCAATTTGAATGCTGAGGGAATGCAACTTTGCTCAACTCAGGATCATTTTCGTCTAAACACAAACATTTTTGTTTTAGGACGTTGTTCCAATTCAAATTCTTCAAACTTGGTTTTTTCGTTAGATTTCGTAAAACAGTATTGGCCTCCCTGCCGTGGTGAGCTTCAAAAGGCGTTAATTTAGTAGTTGCATTTTTGGAGAATCGTAGAGCGCCTAGTGCTTTATCGACCATAGATTCTAGAGATTTATGTTCTTTTTCTGTCGCATATGTTAAGACAAAATTTTTCAAACTTCCTATCGTCCGTTCAACGGACCCCGTGCCTCGATGGTCATTTACTGGGGAGTACATTAGCTCGATGCCTTCCTCGTTACAGAAGCTTTTAAATTTATTAGAGGTAAGACATGATCCCTGATCAACGTGGATCTTCCGAGGTACTCCATGATGCGATATGTACTTAACAAGGAACTTTAAGACCTTATCTGACGTATTAGTAGTAGTAACCATTGCTGACGGCCACCTTGAGAATCGGTCCGTAGCAACCAAAACATATTTCTTAGTTTCATTCAAATAATTTATCGGCCCCCAGAAATCCAACTGTAAACATTCATTGGGTTCCCTTGGTTCTGGGACCTTTCCCATGTCTCCCTTGGGTAATAACGGTTTCAGGTTCTTACCCGCTTCCGTGCATTGCTGACAGTACGTGGCCTTTGCTGGCAAACTTCGGTACATATAAGGGTACCAGACGTCCCGAGCTGCTTCGAACATGTTTCTTTTACCATGATGGTAATAGTGTATCCGTGATTCAACTGGGACTTGTAAGGGTAAAGGGATGACCAATCGTCCGTCCAACCACACACAATCGTCCCGTAACGACAGATCGTTAGCATATTGAGCCCAGTATTTCCCAATCTTCAGGAGTTCTTCCTTCAAGTTAGT